CCTCGTGTAGCTTTGTGCGAAAATTAAAAAAAAACAAAACAAATAATTATCTGGAGTGTAAAGGTAATTTTCTTCTAACTTTGTTATCAAAATGTGGAAATCCTTCCAGTATACACTACACATTCTGAAAGACAACAGAAAAGGCAAATGTTTCAGATTCTTTCCGGTAGTTGCGGATGCTCAGCAAGAAGAAACGACTTTACATTCCGAATTTAAAGGAATATAGGTCGAAATAAAAAGATAACAATTTTTATGGCAGTATGAAACCAAATATCAGAGAGAAGATAAAATATTTGGTCTTGGTTTTGAACAACTTATATTTTGAACTGAAGGTTGTAGTACACTGTACTCACGAGTGACAGGATATTGCACTCTGAATTTAATTTTTTTTTTGGTATGATATACGGTCTAAGGTCAGAGAGAAGATTAAAAAAACAAGCCAGAATTCTTAGTCTCGTATATACACTATTGTCTAAAACAGTAATCACTCACGTCTAGGACATAAACATTCCAGATTCCTCATGAAAATGTTTTGTTTTTTACAGCAAGGTAAGGCTGCACAACGAGCTATCTGTGCTTGAACCCAGAATTTTAGGGTAAAAATTCTCAAGCTTACCACTGAGTCATTGGGGTAAAAATCATGCTTATCATATTGTTGCCCCGACGACTCAGTGGTAAAGATAAAACATATCATATTGTTGGTAACTTGAAGTCATAACACCAGCCTCTATCCAAATCTAACAGACTTTAGAGAGTTTTTTTTAACTTGGTAGTTGTTTCAGCTATTTATTTCCTAATTATTACTAATTAAACTATACCTGTATACCTGTGCAAAATCAGTAAATAGGGAAATTGTAGAATTAATTAGAATTAAATTAATTATAATTTTCAACTATTTCTCGTGCTTTCTTAATGGATTAGGCTACTTGGATTTTGAAGCAAGCCAAAGGAAACATTGAACTGGTTGTATCCAACCCAAAAAGATCCACCGAAGATCGATTTATTCTCGAAGAAGGAAAGAGAAGTTATTCCGAAGCACTTTCAGAAATCAAGGAGAAAGGTGAATCTTAAATTGCTTTGTAAATTAGTGAAAGCAAAATATTAAGGTCAATAAACACACAATTCGACTTAAATACGTGTCTAACCGAGAAAGTTGATAAGTATCGATCAAAACAACGACATGATGCATTTTGCCTGAGCCATTGCTAAAGCAGAGGATCGAAACTATTGATCATGCTTATCATATTGTTGCCCCGATGACTCAGTGGAAACACTTGTAAAGGGGTGAGAGATGTTGGGTTAATGACACGCCGAATAACGCCTGAAAAGTGGGGAGAAGTGTTAGACTAATGATACACTGAATAACGCCTGAAAAGTAGTGAGAAGTGCTAGACTAATGATACTCTGAATAACACCCGAAAAGTGGTGAGAAGTGCTAGACTAATGATACACTGAATAACGCCTGAAAAGTGGTGAGAAGTGTTAGACTAATGATACTCTGAATAACACCTGAAAAGTGGTGAGAAGTGTTAGACTAATGATACTCTGAATAACACCTG